TCATATTCAGTCCGAACGTCAGCGTAGTTTATACAATACTATTACATGGTTACTACATTATATTAATTTTGCCTTCTATTGTTTATTTTTTAATTATTATCTCTACACAGATGCGACATTCATTCATTTATATACTAATATCTATTTTTGATAGATCGTTAGTTCAAATTGTACTTGTATTGTAATGACTTTCCTGAATTACTTTTCTTCAAAGTATCATACATATACGCGACATAAGTTGTCGAATTATTATATTACCATTATAAATTCATTAATTACTAGTTACATGAATATAAGTAAAATGTCAAATAAAACTATCCAAGCGCAACATTATAAGCAAATTAATAAAAACGCCATGTAGTAATCATATTTAAAATTCCAATTTCAAACACTTAACCCACGCGCTCTAACCAAATAAAATTATTCAGAATTATCTGGAAAAAAATTAAATGTAGTATGTAATAAGAATCTAAGGTAATATTATTAACACTTTGTATCTAACTGATTAACAAACACACCTCACGGTTTTGCGTGGGATCATAATAATCGTGCGAGTTAGAATATTTTTTAAAAATATTAATTCGAAAATATTTACATACTTCATTATTTAAGTTATAATTTATATATTTAATAACTGTTTTGAGGTTCTTAAAAGTAAACCATTTATAAATAAATTTTAAATCTTTAGTCAAAAAGTTATATTTACGGACAGCATAGTAGGCTATTCATCTATTAGCTAAGGAACCATTTGACTACCCCTATATTACAAGGCAAGGAAACTGTTATATTTTATTTAACAATGCGTCAATTATTTCGGTAATACTCGATCGTATTATTAGAAAAGTTACATCTCTCTCTTTAATCTTTTATACAGTTTGGAAGCATATTTCCTTTAGCTTTACACCGCATTTAATAATACCATGATAATTTAATTAAGCCAATTGATCACTGCAAGTGTGGAATCAGTGTATATGGATGTCGACTAACTTAATAATCATATATTGGACTTGTTTGACATTTTTCTTCTTGTGATTATATGAAGTTAAATATATCTTTCTTTGCAAAGAACCTTTTTACTTATATATTTCATATTGTTATAAATATTAAATAAATCATCAATACGTTGAAAGCAATAGCTAAATTCTCATGAATTTCTTACATACATTTTAGTCTCTGCACTTTTTGATTACACCACGAATTACAAACTTCTAAGAATTAATTTAAGTGTCGCTTTGTAACAATAAATCCAAACAAACAAAACTTCTTCATGTTTATTTAAATTTGTTCTGCCTTCAAATATTTTACTTTGACGGCTTGACGGCAAAGATACCCAGAAGCTGTGGACAGAATTATAATCAGCTTTTGTGATGAAACGGCGTTAATATTCTGTTTACATCAAGAACATGATCATCAATTCGGATATATTACATAAATATTTGAAAACCATGTTTAGATAAATCACTAGTAGATTAATGAATGATCATATGGTAAAGTGATTTTGATGGATTTTTAGTTCACCTAATTTGAAACTTAGATTTTTAAATCGGGCTCTTCCATAGGGATGTGGTTAGGGGGAGGTTGGATAGCCGCTTCAGACAACCTGATGTCAAGCAACAGTGATATCTGTTGAACTTGAAAATTTAGATAGCAATATGTGAAAATTGCCTTACTCCGGTAATAATAAATTGATCATATAATACATAATTGCAATAATAAATTCATCAAATAGAGATAGGATCGTTTGGTTT